TATATAATAACTTTGACTTATCAATAACGTCGGTACATAAATAGAGGAATAAAATCTTCGATTATTCGCGATTTTCATATTTCACATTTCACAGAAGAATTCCAAAGTACAATACCCATCCGAAGCCAGCACATAACGTCTCACTTTAGCGACACAGAGCTGTACTTTCTCCATAGTATTAAAGAAGTTATCCAAAGGAGGATTACAAAGGACTCAAAAAGCAATAACCATCGGGAGGACCAATCGCGACTTTCTCAAATCTTCCACTTTCTGGACCATTTCCCGATAAGCATGCAAGAATAAAAAGACTCACCGTTCAGCACGTGCACCGCGATGGTCGTCTTGGCTTTTCCCGGCACCACGCAACTGTAGTTTCCGGCGTGCCTCGGGCTGGCCCTCTCTACGATCAGGGTGCTCACGATCACGAGCACCTCCTTGCCGGCCAACATCTCCGTCGTCCTATTTTCACTGCAAAACCACGCATTCCACTGTAATCCACATCCGGTTCACGTAGCCCCCAAACGCTATACGTTTCCCTTACGGGAGAATGTAGAGTACAAGTGAAACGATGATGGTTAACGAAAGGGATGGGATTGGTCCCTTTTCATAAATATGACTCTCGAATGGGACTCGAGATCCTTTTGTCTCTGACTTTTAGGTTATGCATCGAATAATTTCACTTTCGTTGGATTTTTGGATTTTTGCTGTAGGTGGTACCCTTCCTCTATCGAGGGGAACGGATACCATTGTATAATAAAAATATCGATATTATCGTTTGACCAATCCAATATCGAATTAAATAGATTAATTTCGTTGTCGTTTTTGGATCATAAAGGAATCAAGTGCAAAGATAAATTTAATCAGGCATTATTCTTTCGCGCCGAGTAATCGAAAGGACTCACCTAACGTCCTCGATGAGCGTCTCGTCTCCCCTGGTCCAAATGACAGACTCCTCCAAGGACTCGATGACGTCCCTGGCCTCGCATCTGAGCTTCAGAGCGCTGCCTGCCTTCAGGTGCCTCTCTTTGGACACCACTCGGCCGGAATCGTCCGTTATTGTCAGCTCCGGCGCTGCAACGGAGAATACATTTCACGGATTATTCGTTAGCCTATCCGTGTTCCTTGCCGGAACATACAATTTTACACGGCCAGCGAAGAAAATTTCATTTTCCTCGGGATATTAAAGGCAAACAGCTTACGGCCGAGTCAAACGCTCGAGAGCCCGCCGATTATTACCAGCCGTGATAAAACCGTTTTTCCATTTCCAACCGCGGGATTAAACTTTCAAACAGGCTGGCTAAGAGTACGATTACGCGAGGTAGCGTCCAATTACATCCCCGCGAAATGTATTCATAATTAACAGTCGTAAAACGAGGACTCGTTCGCGACCCGGGCCGACTAATTTACATCGTATAATTAAAGCAACCGGCGAAACACGCTGAGGATATCGTTTCGTTAACGAGATGTCGGCAAGGAAATCGGTTATTAAAACCCGCCACTTCAGCCGCCATCTTGTTCGTCGGGATTCCTTCGAGAGACTGTCGGAGACAGCCAGCCATGACGGTGCGTCCGGAAGTCGAGGAATTATCGGGAATCGACTACCCTCTGCGAGCAAGCAGACACCGTGGGTGACAAATGCGATACAGATAGGACGTATCGGGACGTGACCGCCCATACAAATTAGGGGGCGAGGAAAGAACGAGGATTGCAACTTTGATGTATCGGCCATCGACGAGAATCGAACTCGAGGGCTGTTCGTGACTGGCAGAGCAAACGCCTCCAAACAGTTATCACGTTTCGCTTCGCGATACGCGCATCTGGATTTTCATTCGGGATACACGGTGAACCGTAAGTGAGCTGCTTGTTATGAATTATTCCCGATCAGACTAATCGAATGACTATGGATAACGAGCGTGTATATACAACAGATGGAAATAGTACACCATGAGGCACGTTGAACCTTTCGGTAACCCTTTAACTATTTTATTTAATTTATTAAGGATACACCTGTGCGTTTAATTATTTTTGAGTAATTAAATACAATCCCCTCGTTTGTCTTGACACGTTAATTTTGTTAGATCATCCGTTATGATCATATTATATATTATAATAGCTATGTCAAATATACGTGTGATGATACACGAGCCTAAATGTAGACAAGTGAAAATGGCACCCCTCTTCTTCTGAACATTGCATGCTCAAGACACGACTCATTTTCCAGACCACGATTAGGATTCTTAACTATACACCTGTACGTTTAATTATTTTTGAGTAATTAAGTATAATCCCCTCGTTTGCCTCGATACGTTAATTTTGTTAGATCATTTGGTACAATCGTAGATTATAATAACCTACTAACCTAGACTAAAATAACCTAAATGCAAAGACAGATGAAAATAGTGTCCATCTTCTTCTATGTTCCACTCCCAGGAAACAGCTTTTCTAAAGGAGAAATAACTACCTCCATAGATCGGAATGCGGATCAAATTGTGCGCCAGAGTCAAAAGGAAGGTACCGAGAAGAAACCGGTCGTATTATCTCTGTCGTTACCGCGACGTGTCGTTAATTATACGAGAAAAACTAAACGAGCGATAAATCGCGACTCCGCAAGGTCCATTTTTTCGGACACCGCTTTTTGCCGCGCCCTCGAGCGCTTTAATATACGATCCGCTAAGACAATACCGTTAATTCCCCTAGGACCGTTCCACGACGGTCGACTATTCTCCAGCAATTAATACCAGCTCGCGTAAATTTTCATTCGAGCACCTATTTAATCCCCCATCGGTCCCGTCTCCTCGAACGGAGTCCTCAGTCAGCGTTTCAGCCAAGCCGACGAACGAGACCTCGGATCGAAGAAGGTCCTGTCTGTGTGTCGCAGCGAACAGGTGATCAGCTCGACGTCCTCGTAATTTCCCTTCCCAGGAAGCTCGCGAACCGTAGTAAAACAGAGGAACTTCCGCGAAAGTGCACTTGGACGTTTTACGATTCCTTCTTTCGCCATCTGCCATTCGCGAAAACTACGAGGAATTTTTCTACCCTCCTTCTTCCTCGAAGCACCCTAAAACTCGCGTCTATCGCGGCAGTTCGACAACTCCTTCTGGTGCCTCCACTAAAAATCCCTAACAGCGTATCCGGTTGTAGGAAACTCGTAAAAAGGCAACTCGAGGATCCGCAGTCTCCGCCGGGCTATGGTTTTTCTAAGTGAAACGAGGATAAGAGAAGCCGGCAGAAGTGAAATTACAGATTGGCGAGGGATCGGTAACCGATCACCGCAATGGGACAATTTCTCCGTCGATTTACGAGCTTCCGGCGATGCTATCTCGCCGCGATTTCCACGAATTTCGCGTTTCAAGATCGGGGAGAGACCGCCTTCTATCTTGTCTCGAGATCCGAGGCACACGCGCGATTAGACATCCTGGAATAGGTTCAATCGACCGCGATCCACGACGATTCGGCTGAGCGAGTCGACTTCTCCGAGGGATAATGTTGCGAGAACGTCCTCGCGCTCCTCCTTTCCCGGATTTTCACGCTGGTTTCACGAATTTTCGGTACATCTGGTAAGCGCATTATCGGATAAAGAAGGGTCTTTTATCTAAGCACCTAGTTTCTTTCGGGACGTGTCGCTACGTGCTGGAAATCGTGGACGCTGGTTCGTTTATCCCGTCTCGTTTTACTCGTCGCGAGAACGGAATCCCTTTCTCCGCCATGATTGATCTTTCCTTAATAGCTATAGACGACTACATGGTAAATAAATTTAGATTGACAGGGAGAGTGCGAGCTCTTCGGGTTAACGATTTAGTTGAAACTTTGCAGGTTTGTAGATTTCGTCATGCAGTTCAAGAATATAGACGCATTCATAGACCTCCACTCGTTTATCGCATTCGGCTCTGTCATAAATATCCCTTACATTTGATCCTTTTGCACCTGGTCACTTTCGTTCTAAGCCCAAATACTCTTGACATTCCTTCAGGACCGTACCTATTCCTTTCCTACATAATATCATTACGGCCACCACTACCTAATAGTTTCTGAAATATTTGCGATTAAAGTTTTATTATTTCTTTAATTAATTCTTTAATTATAGATTTATTTCCAATGGTTTTAAAGTAGCTTTGTGGCCTAACTGAGTTCTATTCTTTATTTTGTATTCATTTTTCGCCTATGAAAAGATTGTAAATAAGCAATTGCAAATAAAATTTCTTAATAAAAGAAATTCTTTTTACGCTTTCCTATGCTAGTATATATTTGTTACAAAATAATCAGAATACTATGCAAGTACAATAGTTCTCTATAGCAATCCTATTTACTACAGAAGTATTAATTATACCCTGAGAAACTTCCTGACCACACCGGGGCAAAAATTATTGTACAGATTATAAAAATTATAATACAGATCAAACCGGGTACGAATGCCACTCTACCTTTGCCAGGATTCTAACAACGAAAGGAGAAAAAGCTAGAAATCTATAGTTAAAAATGTAATAAAACTTAATCATAAATATCTTAAAAGCTGTTGAGTAGTTGTGGCTGTAATGATGTATATTCCTGAACTGCATGACGAAATCTACAAGCCTACGAAATTTCAACTAAATCGGTGACCCGAAATTGCACTCATTCATGTCGCAGATATTTGACACGAAAATGGGACCTTTCGATGTCAAAGATGAGAGAAAATATTTAATACCCATATATAATAACTTTGACTTATCAATAACGTCGGTACATAAATAGAGGAATAAAATCTTCGATTATTCGCGATTTTCATATTTCACATTTCACAGAAGAATTCCAAAGTACAATACCCATCCGAAGCCAGCACATAACGTCTCACTTTAGCGACACAGAGCTGTACTTTCTCCATAGTATTAAAGAAGTTATCCAAAGGAGGATTACAAAGGACTCAAAAAGCAATAACCATCGGGAGGACCAATCGCGACTTTCTCAAATCTTCCACTTTCTGGACCATTTCCCGATAAGCATGCAAGAATAAAAAGACTCACCGTTCAGCACGTGCACCGCGATGGTCGTCTTGGCTTTTCCCGGCACCACGCAACTGTAGTTTCCGGCGTGCCTCGGGCTGGCCCTCTCTACGATCAGGGTGCTCACGATCACGAGCACCTCCTTGCCGGCCAACATCTCCGTCGTCCTATTTTCACTGCAAAACCACGCATTCCACTGTAATCCACATCCGGTTCACGTAGCCCCCAAACGCTATACGTTTCCCTTACGGGAGAATGTAGAGTACAAGTGAAACGATAATGGTTAACGAAAGGGATGGGATTGGTCCCTTTTCATAAATATGACTCTCGAATGGGACTCGAGATCCTTTTGTCTCTGACTTTTAGGTTATGCATCGAATAATTTCACTTTCGTTGGATTTTTGGATTTTTGCTGTAGGTGGTACCCTTCCTCTATCGAGGGGAACGGATACCATTGTATAATAAAAATATCGATATTATCGTTTGACCAATCCAATATCGAATTAAATAGATTAATTTCGTTGTCGTTTTTGGATCATAAAGGAATCAAGTGCAAAGATAAATTTAATCAGGCATTATTCTTTCGCGCCGAGTAATCGAAAGGACTCACCTAACGTCCTCGATGAGCGTCTCGTCTCCCCTGGTCCAAATGACAGACTCCTCCAAGGACTCGATGACGTCCCTGGCCTCGCATCTGAGCTTCAGAGCGCTGCCTGCCTTCAGGTGCCTCTCTTTGGACACCACTCGGCCGGAATCGTCCGTTATTGTCAGCTCCGGCGCTGCAACGGAGAATACATTTCACGGATTATTCGTTAGCCTATCCGTGTTCCTTGCCGGAACATACAATTTTACACGGCCAGCGAAGAAAATTTCATTTTCCTCGGGATATTAAAGGCAAACAGCTTACGGCCGAGTCAAACGCTCGAGAGCCCGCCGATTATTACCAGCCGTGATAAAACCGTTTTTCCATTTCCAACCGCGGGATTAAACTTTCAAACAGGCTGGCTAAGAGTACGATTACGCGAGGTAGCGTCCAATTACATCCCCGCGAAATGTATTCATAATTAACAGTCGTAAAACGAGGACTCGTTCGCGACCCGGGCCGACTAATTTACATCGTATAATTAAAGCAACCGGCGAAACACGCTGAGGATATCGTTTCGTTAACGAGATGTCGGCAAGGAAATCGGTTATTAAAACCCGCCACTTCAGCCGCCATCTTGTTCGTCGGGATTCCTTCGAGAGACTGTCGGAGACAGCCAGCCATGACGGTGCGTCCGGAAGTCGAGGAATTATCGGGAATCGACTACCCTCTGCGAGCAAGCAGACACCGTGGGTGACAAATGCGATACAGATAGGACGTATCGGGACGTGACCGCCCATACAAATTAGGGGGCGAGGAAAGAACGAGGATTGCAACTTTGATGTATCGGCCATCGACGAGAATCGAACTCGAGGGCTGTTCGTGACTGGCAGAGCAAACGCCTCCAAACAGTTATCACGTTTCGCTTCGCGATACGCGCATCTGGATTTTCATTCGGGATACACGGTGAACCGTAAGTGAGCTGCTTGTTATGAATTATTCCCGATCAGACTAATCGAATGACTATGGATAACGAGCGTGTATATACAACAGATGGAAATAGTACACCATGAGGCACGTTGAACCTTTCGGTAACCCTTTAACTATTTTATTTAATTTATTAAGGATACACCTGTGCGTTTAATTATTTTTGAGTAATTAAATACAATCCCCTCGTTTGTCTTGACACGTTAATTTTGTTAGATCATCCGTTATGATCATATTATATATTATAATAGCTATGTCAAATATACGTGTGATGATACACGAGCCTAAATGTAGACAAGTGAAAATGGCACCCCTCTTCTTCTGAACATTGCATGCTCAAGACACGACTCATTTTCCAGACCACGATTAGGATTCTTAACTATACACCTGTACGTTTAATTATTTTTGAGTAATTAAGTATAATCCCCTCGTTTGCCTCGAAGACTCATTTTCCAGACCACGATTAGGATTCTTAACTATACATGTGTACGTTTAATTATTTTTGAGTAATTAAGTATAATCCCCTCGTTTGCCTCGATACGTTAATTTCATTAGATCATTTGGTACATTCGTAGATTATAATAACCTACTAACCTAGACTAAAATAACCTAAATGCAAAGACAGATGAAAATAGTGTCCATCTTCTTCTATGTTCCACTCCCAGGATACGACTCATTTCCTAGGCTGCGATTAGGATTCGTAACTATACATGTGTACGTTTAATTATTTTTGAGTAATTAAGTATAATCCCCTCGTTTGCCTCGATACGTTAATTTCATTAGATCATTTGGTACATTCGTAGATTATAATAACCTACTAACCTAGACTAAAATAACCTAAATGCAAAGACAGATGAAAATAGTGTCCATCTTCTTCTATGTTCCACTCCCAGGACATGACTCATTTTCTAGGCTGCGATTAGGATTCGTAACTATACACCTGTACGTTTAATTATTTTTGAGTAATTAAGTATAATCCCCCCGCTAGCCTTGACACGTTAATTTTGTTAGATTATTAGTTATGATCATATATTATAATAGGTATGCCAAATATATGCGTGCGATGACTCACGAGTTTAAATGCAAAGACAGGTGAAAATAGCATCCCCCTTCTCCTACGTTCCACTCCCAGGACAATCGACTCATTTTCCAGACCACGATTTGGATTCCTAACTATACACCTGTACGTTTAATTATTTTTGAGTAATTATATATAATCCCTTCGTTTACCCCGGCACGTTAATTTTGTCAGATCATTTGGTAAGATCGTAGATTATAACGGGTACGTCAAGTATATACGTGCGATGACACGCGAGCCTAAATGTAAAGACAGGTAAAAATGGCGTCCTTCTTCTCTACTCTTTGCGCGACTCTCAACGTTCCACGCCCAGGACACGACTCATTTTCCAGGCCGCGTTTAGGATTCAGCCCAGCTGGCTAGGCAGCGATTCCCGACTCGACCGCTATGCAAATTCCCTAGTGCTATCTAGCTTCTATCTACCCCTCGTTCACCGTCTTACTTGGACGAGCGTGTGCTCCGTCGAAACAGCATGTCTCGTTCGAACTGATCTTTTTATCCCAGATTAAGCGTCAGTAGCAAGCTCACGAGGTAGCTTGTTTTATAACGCTGCAGGTTCCCGGAATCCCTACGAATCTACAGCGACAAGTAATTCCAATTTCCAGACACAATATCGTACATACGTTAATTTATTTATTTATTCGAAGATATCCATTTCTCAACAAAAGTAGGCAGATTCTCAAACGTTAATGGTTACGTTCATGGTGGACAGTTAACGATGAAAGTTTGGGAAAGTCGTGGACATATTCAGCAAATGTGTCGACCTTGCGAACAATCGTTAACCATGAGGTCATCGCTGACCTAGACTCGCCCGTCGATATCTGACAGACGTAGTCAGTGACGTAGTCAGTCGCTATTGGAACAGTAGTATAATCGCGACATCTATTGCATAATATTTTATGTATGATGAGTTGGGTGTGAGTGACGTGTAATTTTGATATATTTAATTGCGATACATCAAAATTGTTTCCTGCTTTTCACATAATTCCAATAGCCACCATATTGGAAGTTTATCAGTAGAAAGGCAACTGCAGAAAGTAGTCAGAAGTCTCTAACAATTCCCAAGTTCCATATACGCAAATCCATCACTATATTACTACATTCTTCCCTGAAAAAGAATTCATCCGTTTACGACTCACTCTCGTTTCGGCAATGTAACAGAGCGGACGTGTAATTTTTATATATTTAATTGTGAATCAAAATATATTCAATTGTGATACATCAAAATTGTTTCCTGCTTTTTACGTAATTCCAATAGCCACCATATTGGAAGTTTATCAGTAGAAAAGCAACTGCAGAAAGTAGTGAGAAGTCTCTGACAATTCCCAAGTTCTATATACGCAAATCCATCACTATATTACTACATTCTTCCTTGAAAAAGAATTCATCCGTTTACGACTCACTCTCGTTTCGGCAATGTAACAGAGCGGACGTGTAATTTTTATATATTTAATTGTGAATCAAAATATATTCAATTGTGATACATCAAAATTGTTTCCTGCTTTTTACGTAATTCCAATAGCCACCATATTGGAAGTTTATCAGTAGAAAAGCAACTGCAGAAAGTAGTGAGAAGTCTCTGACAATTCCCAAGTTCTATATACGCAAATCCATCACTATATACCTACATCGTTCCCTGAAAAAGAATTCATCCGTTCACGACAACCTCAAGCTGTTCCCAACCCAACGTCTCTCGTGTCACGATGATGGCGATTCAGCATGCCAGGGACAGCCTCGTAACGTTCGCCATGAGGGAACGATTTCAGCTAGCGATGTTCGCCAAGTCGAGACAGTTCTCGGCACACGAAACGACAGTTTCGACTTTATCGACGACAATAGTTACGAGGAAGGGTAACGATATATACGATGGAGCCTGAGTATGGTCGGACAGAGGAGCAGGGAAACGGTCGCTGTTTCTTGCGACTGCTGCCGCTGTTTCCGGCACGGATTTCGTATAATTCAACGATTCCCCACACTGGATGACCAATGTTCTAGTCGCTGGAACGAGAAAAAGATGCGACGGCGTCTCGTGATGTATCAACGAAACGAGCAGCCCGACGTTGCTCGAAACTCGGTCGCGAATGAAAGGACGGCAAGAAATCGGCCCGGGCTGTCTGAATTTCTCGCAGCGATCCGATGGCCAACGTCGGCTTTTTCACCGACCGTTTGGTGAAAAAGAAATTTCCAGTTCTTTCCCAACCAAACGTTCCCGCGGTTCGCAACGAAAAAGGAAAGAGAAACGCCAAAAGGGAAAAGAAACACGCGAGAACGGATACGGTTCCCTGAATCGGTATCGGTAACGCGTTTCTGTCACTCGGAACATGGGTTCGCTGTGTTACATCGACGTGAAACAAAGGATCTGAGGCGAGAACCCGAATTTTGTCCCGAGGAATAGACCACGCTGGTCGTGGCACCCGAATTTCAAAATTCCCGCCCTTTTCGCGGATCCTGGAAAGAGGTTCGCGTTTGGAAAAGAGGAAAAAGAGCCAGATGCATGCACAGGGGTACAGTTCCAGGACAGGTAAAGGTATCTCTGTCACAGAGAGCTTCAAAGGCGACTGCGAAGGGTCTGAAGCGTAAACTAGAATATTTTTTCCAACGTACCGTAGAGCGTGGCTCGTTCCTCGTAAATTTCAAAATTCCCGCCTAATTTCTCAATCTTTCGGGGCCCTTCTCCTCGGGAACGTTCGCGAAACGTAATTCGCGAAAACAACACGAGGAAGGGGAACTCAAAGAAGGCTGGCATATGGACACAGTTGATCGCGTTGGACAAGCAGACCTTTGTCGGGCGGAGCTTCAGAGGCGTGTACAAAGTTCTCACGCCTAAACTGAAATTTTATTCCGGCGGAAAGACCGCACATCGCGACCCCGGTGCTCGCGTGGTCCGTTTCTTGTGAATTTTAAACGCGAGCTACGCACTGGGAACCCCGGACGACCTGTGTCCCGGTGTCCGGTTAATAAAATTTCCAAGCGTCCAAGAATATACGCGACCAGAGGTCTCGAAGCAAAGCGTACATGACTCCTACCACTGGAACACGGACTCTGGTGCCGTGATATCGCGAAACTTCCGTCGTAAAATGCAGTGTCGCGCTAAACGGGGCCCCGGAGCCGTAAGCGAGACGTTTCACTGC